ATTATTTGGCAGTTGAGCAGTGCCTGCAAAACAAAAATACCCTAAATCCTCTAAAAAAACCCTCCTCCAATGCCACTTTTTTGATTAATACTCTTGAAAGCTCATAGTGTCAGCAAGTCCTCACACTGTCCCCTCTCTCCTCTAATGACTTCTGGCTTAAAGGTACAAGGGCTTGATTAAAACTCTCATCATAGTAAATCAATGGTAGCTCAGGGAAAAGAGGTCTTTTCCCTCCCTCTTTCCAGAGAAAGTTTCCTCACTTGTGCTTCTCTGGCACTTGATTTTGCATGCGTGCAAACCCACTAAATCAATGCATCAGTAAAGCACTCACTGGGGGTGCTTAGTCCTCACCATGGCAAGCTGAAAGCACGCTTTTTTATGCATGTGCCTTCAATGTTATTTTTGGAGAGATTAATGAGTTCAGGTGCAGTAAAAATGTGTATTGCAAATGAATTCCTCCTTAGCATGCTGGAAGGATAAAGAGTGACATCTGCACAAACACAGCCTCAGCAATACCCACAAATGAGGCTAAGCGATGGCACCATTGCTGTGGCTGTTTGGGACTGTGGATGTCTTGAGTGACCTTCACTGGTAGGAGCTGTTAATCCTAGCATTTACCTTGGCTTAGCAGGAGGCACATCTGGAGAGAGGAACAGGAGAAACCTTCCAGCCCCAGTCACATCTCTACACGGGTACAATATGTGGACCTAATTATAGAAGTAAGGTTTGCAGGAGGCTGGAAAGTTGGAGGCTGATTCCTCCAAGCCTCCGTGCTAGCAGAGTCAGGAAGGGCTCATTTCCTTGCCTGATATCACATGAGAGACAGAGGTTTTTCACTGTTCCTTCGAACAGAAAACCTCAGGAGGCTTCAAGATGACTCTTGGTCACAGTGCAGCCCCCTGAGCCTCTGTAGGGTCTTTCCTGCACTCAATCAGTGTGGCTGCTGTGAGTTTCCTACAGGAAAGGACAAAATTCAAGTGGCTTAAAGCAAAAACGTGGGATGGTAGTTCAGGCCAGAACTGGCCCAGAGCCTGGGAAACCTTGGTCCTATCACCAGACAAGCTTTCAAGAGGGTAGGAGAGCAAAGGGGAGCAAACCATAGGGTCTTCTGTAGAGCTTTGGCTAACCCACAGCTAATTTAGGTCTCAGCATTGAAATGTCCAGCTGGGCTGAGTCCTCTGGGTGTCACATTTCTCTCTAAGAGGTACTATGAAAGAGCCCAGGAAGGCAGGCCACGTGAAACCTCATGATGTGTCTGCTCTTTACAGTATCACACAAAGCAAGCTGTTCCTGTGAACTGCCAGAATTTGGAGCCAGGAGCCTGAGTGTAGCTGATGAGCTCTGACATTTGGATGTCACATAGTCCCAGTCCAACCTCCAGTTGTGGTTTGACCTGGCGACTGGCTACTCTTCCCTGTCCCAGAAACAATGCTCCACCAAGGTGACATCCACCTCCAAACCTCTCTACCTTTGTCTATGTTTCTCTTTGTCCTAGAGGACGAAGAAGCTACAAAGAGATGCATAAACAGAAGAGGACCTTTTCCTGCTTCGTTGATGTCATTAAGGGAGAGAAATGCAGGAGTTTTCATCATGCTTTGACTATCTTGTCACCAAAATCTTGCAACAACCTGCAGAAGAAGCCTGTGGGATGAACTAGATAATCTTTAAGGTCACTTCCAACCCAACCCATTCTAGGATTCTAGGACTCTGAAGGGGTTATGGGAAAACCACTTGTAAAACTACGGCTTTGCTGTGGAATTTTGTCTGTGAATTCAAAAATGCAGTGAAAAACAGATGAATCCTTACACTTACAGTCAGTTTTGGTTCGGAAAAAAAGAGTCTATGTCAGTTGTGTATGAACCAGCAACCTATCTAATGCAGGATAAAGTAAGATGTGGCAGGTTTTGGTGATGGAAAGTGTAATAGATACAGAAATGCCAAGGCCTGTGTACTTTGGATTTAAGTAGGTCCACATCTGTTTGTGCGGGAAGTAATGTGAACAGGAGGGAGAAACAGCCCCAAGAAACAAATAGAAATGGAGCTTAAACACGTGTATCTGGTGCCCTCCTGTGGAAACGAGCAGTTATTTTCTAGGTTAGAGAAGAAAAGTCACTGGGGGGGGGTTGTACTTTGTTACTATTTTCTCAATGAGACATAAGTGAGAAAACTAATATAAACCAAACGATTGTTCGTTCTTTCCCTCTTTTCCCCCTTACACCAACAGCTTCTTATGCAGGGAATGGCTGCACAAAGCCAAAAACTTCATTAACCACAGGGGCAGGAAATGGCACAGAAGGAAGAGAAGTATTTCAGAGGAAGAAAACCCCTGCCATTGATTGAAATCTTCCTTAGCTCTGCTCGTGGACATCAGACTTCTGTGAAGAAAAGCCAAAATCTGTTTTAAAAAGAACATTTAAGTGGTTTTTTTCTCTGTAACTAGATTGATAGATAATGTTTTTGGCTTGCTCTGTATTTCATTATAGAAGGGTGTGTTGTTAGGCTTAAACAGAATACGCTCAGATGATTCATATCTTTTTAACATTGAAATACTACCCAATATATTCATATAAAAGAGAGGATATATGTGTACGTCATCTCTCTGCCACAGTAATCATAAGCCCTTTGCATGTTCTACATTTGTTACATCCTACATCATTCTTTAGGTGATCCATGCGCCTCCAGGGAGTTTTGTCATCTTCATTTCTGCATGTCCTGCTGCCACCTCATGGCAGTGAGCTCAACCTTCACCTTCCCTGCTAAAATTGGGGGGGAAACTGGTCCTGGAGCTGTCATCCATATACAGCAAGAAGCTAAAAGCACTAAATGCTTTAATTGTTAGTCATAAACATCTTGGGAAATTTAGGTTAATTAAAATTATCATTAGTTGGTAGGATTTTTGTCCTGCACAAGCAATCTGGAGTCCTATACAGTATTTTAGGGGCATGATACCACATTCCCAGCCCATGAAAAGTGCCAGTTATGGTAACTCACAGCAAAGGTTACCCAACAGTGCAGTGTTTTGAAGTGCAAAGCAACCAGGTCCCTATTGCCAAGGAGCCTGGGGGGTATGCACTCAGACACCCTCAAATTACTGTGATGGAAGGTATTCAGCTGCAAAAAACACTGGATTTAACTGGTAGAACAGTGCAAATTAACCCTGTCTGCTGCAGAACCAGTTGGGTAGGAGAGATGCATATATATGTATATTTTTATACAAATATACAATGTAGATATAGCTATGAATGAGACCTAGGTCAGAGAAGCTTTGGCTTTGGAAATGCTGCACTAGGTCTCAGCACACACTGAAGCAGGACAGCTGATGCAAGGACCAGTGACAATTATTGCTCCCAACACCCTGCCACTAAGGAATAAATCAAGCCACGCTGTTCTCAGCTCTGATAACCCACCTCTCCTCATGAGCTGACAGCCAATGTTCCAGGTCACTGAGTCAAATTCATTGCCTACTCTTTCTTCTCCTTTTAGTCACTGATTTGCATCAATGTTAGGATCAGATGGATCTACACTGAGTTTTACACATGCGGCTGCAGACCAGTCCATGGGATGCCTGCAGAGAACCAAATCAGCACATACTTTAAGAGCCACCACGAGCTAGGCCTCATTGCTGCCAGTATAAGGAATTAACTGGATTAATGTGTTGACAAAATACAGCTACACTTGTGCTCTACTGCAGCAGCAAACCAGCACTGCATCACTGACCTGAGTATCTTCCTGAGATTTCTCACTGCTTGGCTCCTCAGTACACATTAGGTTTAGATCTGGCTGTTGATGACTTCCTCCTGACCTCAAAAGCTTCTCTAGGCTTCAGTTGATACTTTTTGGCCTGTTCCAACATGGACCAGGTTCACTGAGTCCCTGGAATTTATTTCCTGGGGAAGAGGATTCATCCTTTCCAATTGAGGAGCTGGAGGAAGAAATAATGATAAAATAAAAACAAATGGAGGCTCTGCAGATGTGTGTTAACGAAACACCAGTGCTTTAGGCTGAAGGGATCTTTCACTGGGATATTATTGTTGGGACAAGCTAATAAATCTTATTCACAGCTTCCCACCAACCCTGTGCTTTGAGATTTCATTGTATATATGCTAATATCTAATTTAAGATGCCAATAGCCAAGTAACTGCACATGTGGTGACAAAGCCAGGATCCCCACATTAACCTTAAGACTTTTTATCAGTGGATGACCATCACCCCTTCTCAACAGGTAAAAGGAAACCCTCTTAAAACGTCCCACTGGATAGGGATACCAGGTTTAAAGCTAATTGCATTTCCCAGAGTACTTCAACACTTGTTCCCAGAGTACTTGAACACTTTGTTCAGATGAGGAACAAGAGCGAAGCATCACTGCAAAGCGCATTGCAAACTCCAGCTGTGCTTGGATCTGGGGGAAGACCACCGAGAGGGTGGATGCAGGGAAGCTGCAACCAACAGTCTGAGCTGCTGGGAGTGATGCTGGCTCTTTCTAAGCCCTCCCACAATCTGCTGCCATCTCACAGCATCCCTGCAACACAGTAAAACCCAACCACCACCAGTTTTCCCTGGCACTATTCCAGCCAGCTCTAACACTCCCCATACAGTTATCTGTGTGTGGCTTCTATTTACAGCTGTACTTTCTCTCCCCTCCTCCATCACTTTTAGGAGGGTCCAAGCAGAAACACATTGGAGGGCTGAGGGTTATGCCAACAGTTTTAGCTTCATTTGCTGGCATTTCATCAGTGATCTCTGCAATGCAGAGGCAAATGTCTCTGCTTTGCCAAACACGGTTTTAAACAGACAACTGCCCTGAGAAGAGGCTCCCTTTCCTCTAAAGGAAATTACACTGTAGACCACTGGTTCCTCTTTACCATCTTCCAAGGAACTCTGGGACCTTATCTTCACCTTTGCTGCTGTACATCTCATTCCTACACAGGACCATTCACAGCTCAGTCAAGGTACACAGTTACACAGAACACGTATCGCCTTGAGACACAGATGCACCTAAGTGAAACAACAACATTTTGTCTTTATTAGGAGTTCCCATGGTAATATAACACAGAGTTCTTAAGGAATAAAACACAAGACTTGGGGTTGGGGTGGTTTGTTTTTTTTTTTTGCCATTGAGACAATGGTCAATATCAGTACTTCTTTTTGTCTACACACATCAGCTTTAGCACTTACAGCTCCTCCACTCATGGTTCACAATCACAAATCCAAGGGTTAAATCCAGCTAGTATTAAATCCTACTTTTTCTTTACTTTTAGAGCTTCAAGTCACTGCGGTTAATTACTTAAGTCATCATCTTTTTCTTTAAGCATTTACATATGACATTCATTAAACAGACACAAAGCAGACGAGCTCTCACAGGAAAAAACATGCTTAACACAGCCTGCAAAATATCTTTTTTTTTTTGTGATTTTTTTTTTCCTCTTTTTGAAGAACAAATTCAAACTAAAAACTCATCATGAGGCAGTGAAGGAAAACCAAAACCAAGGAAGACTTAAGTGAATACTGAAGAGCCGCAAGTGTTTCGCAGAATTCAAACGGATCTCTGCAATCCTTTTCCTCCCCAACTTGTTCCAATTTGATTTTAACATACAGGTGAAAACTACAATGAAATAGCTGCAATATATATTACGTTCATGGATTACTTTAACAAACAAAGTGCAAACTCTTTTATGCAAAACTAAAAGACCCAGGAGTGAAACCTAAATGCAAAATGCTTGGATGAATATGGCGATGGTTTTCCTAACTTTCATGTTCAAAGGGGCCTGAAGGAATTAGGTGCTGAAGCTGGGAGGGTTTGGGTACCTAAATAGCTTCCAGATCCTTTGCAAATCCCAGCATTGATACTTCGTAACAACGAATTTGGTACTTGTTTCTTAAAAGCCTTCATATACATAGTTTTTTCCCTAAAAGAACCTGTAAACACCATTTAAGAAAATACAACTATGGAAAAACAAGGTCAGTGTACGTGGCCAAGCACAGATAGAAGAGAAAGCAGAAGATGCAGCCAAGCGCCAGGGCAGACAGACAGTGGAGGTAATGCTGTGTTAGCTGTGGGTGGAAAAGCTCTCCGTGCTGAGACAGGTCAAGTCCTTGGGACTGCTGAGCCCTCCAGCTAAGTTTAAGTGGGAATCTAACGGTGCAGATTTATTCTCCATGTCCTGAAAATAATAAGCCTCCAATACTAGGGCTAAAAGACCTTCAATCCCAGAAGATAACTAAATGCCAGATCATGCTGACTGTCTCACAAACTGGGGCTCCTAAATTCACTTAACGACTACTCATGGCCTCTGGTTTCTCAGATCCAAGGCAGCAGGCATCTGAGGAAGGGTGGGGAACCACCAGGCCTTCTCATGAGTATTTGCACAAGGGCAGATTCCTAAAGGAATGAGCGACTGTGAAATTCGTACCATGTACGAGAGATTCTCAGCTGCTGTTGACCCATCGAGACTCCCAGTTACAACAGCTGGGCATCTGGACTCGAACTGAATTGCCACAGATGCTCGGGCACACGCTCAACTGACTGGGTTTGAATAACCACTCGTCAATGGCCAGGAAGGGGGAATGTGGCTGCTACAGAAACCTTGCAAGCAACACGTTGCTCTTTGCTCATGCTTATTGATTTCCATCTATCTCCAGGAACAGAAGACAAACTAACTGCTAAAAGCTTCTCAAGAAACCCCATCCTAGTTCCTCAGCTGGTGTCCAGCCCCTCTGCACCAGCTCAAGACCTAGTACACTGAAGTGAAGATCATAGCTTATGAACCTGCTCTGTGCCCTCCTATTGCAGCTAAGTGGCAAGCGTTGGCTGGAATGATGCAACCTAGGAATACCTGAAGTACCAGGGTGGCAGTGACACTGGTGGGAGTCTGTAACTTGAATGAGGTTCAGGAAGGACCGGGAAGAACAGGGGAATCCCCAGTTCTTAGATAAGGCTTCGTAAACACAATGAAACAAACATATTAAAAACACACACACAAACATAAAAAACAACCCGAATGTTTCCTCAAGGACCTGATTTGCAGCAAAATCCAGAAGGAAAAAAAAGAAAGAGAAGAAAAACAAACCAAGAGAACCAAAGTCCCCAAGGATTCTAGCTCACCCGATGGCTGGGTGCGATGTGCTCTGTCAATTCCTAGTGCTGGGTCCTGCTTCTCTCTCGGCAGCAGACAGCAACCTCAAAGGTGGTGGTGGGGAATGGTTACAGACAGGCTGAGATTCGTGTCCCTCCATGTTTGCCTAGCTATTCTGCTGGAACACAGAACCCTACAGGATATCCAGTTTAACACCCTTAAACTACTCTTCTGCTTGACATTAAAAAAAATAAAATAAAATAAAAAAAATGCTTTAACATTTATTATTGATTTATTCCTTTTTTTTTTTTTTTGTGTGTGTCTTAAAGGCAGCTCCCGGGAAATTCACTTTATCCTTCCTTTATTAAAAGAAAGATGCTGAATGGGACAGAGGCCACGTATCTCAAACATCCTCTTTTACATTTACTTTTGCATGTCAGAGGTGTCAAAAGAGGGTTTATTCCTTTAAACGTGTAGGGGCTGAAGGGGGAAGTGAGAGGGGTTGGTGAAGATGAGGAGGGAATCTGAGGGGACTGAAACAGGCGCCTTACTTCAGCCCCCCCCCACTGGTTGCCCGCAGTAACCGTCACAGGCTCTAAAAGAATCAAGAAGGGTGTCGAGGTGCCCCCGGCCCCGGTGCGCTGTGCGGGCGCAGAGGGCTCGCTCCTTAGCCCAAGCTGGTGATGTTGGCACGTCCACCCGGCGGTGCCACGATGCGCTGGGTCGTGCGGCGTGGGATGTTGTCATCGATCTGTGCCCCTGCGCCAGAGAGAAGCAATGTCAGGGTCTCCCCCCCCCAGGCCACTGAGAGCTTGACAGGAGTGAGCTGCATGCCAAGGGAGCTGGAACAGCACTCTGCTGCGTTGGAACCCACTGAGACCTCTTAGGCCAGGCTCCAACTGTGTCCTGCCTTTGGAGTAAAAGCCCTTACTGGCCTTCAGTGCCTTCACCGATCTCATTAATGTAGGTCAGTATCCTAAAGGCAGATGCCAGGAGGATGGTGCCAGACTCTTTCCAGTGGCGCCCAGCGACAGGACAAGGAGCAATGGCCATAAACTATACCACAAAAAGTTTCACCTCAACATGAGGAAGAACTGCTTCACGTTGAGAGTGGCTCTGCTGAACTTTGTGCCATCTGCCCAGTTCAGAATGCTATGGGGTACTCAGCATTCACGCCACAGCATGAAAACAAGGAGGACTTTATGACAGAGCTCCTATACTGCTCTTCTTCCTTCCCAAACCTAAAAGCGCTCAAGGCCAGGCTGGATGGGGCTTGGAGCAACCTGCTCTAGGGGAAGGTGTCCCTGCCCATGGCAGGGGGCTGGAACTGGATGAGCTTTAGGGTTCCTTCAAACCCAAACCATTCGAGGATTCTACGATAAAAGGGTCACCTCCAAGTTAAACCACCCCACAGCCTCTCTCATTGCCTTCCAGAATTAACGCAGAGTATGGATGCATTTCAAAGCAATGCATACTTTAGCCCTGTGAAAGTACGTACCAGACAAGCTGAATCCAGACTGGTGCAGGTTCCTCACGGGTGGGGCCTGCTGTTTGGCAGGAGATGTCTTGGCTGAAGACGCTGGTGTGACGGTCTTCGGTGTCACCGACACTTCGCAGACGGGTCCATCGTAGAGGCCTCGAGGCACCCCCCGCAGCTCAGCCAGCTGCAAAACACAGGGTCAGACCAGAACTAAACAGCTGGCCAGATGTTGTCGTGACAAAGACACACATGTCAAGATTTGTCTTTGGTAAGAGGATTTGAAAGAGAACATCATCTCCTCCGTGCTGATCCTCGGGCGGTAGCTGGTCCCTGAAGCAGCATGGGTAAAAGGAAAGGTGCTCTGGAGTCCTGTGGCTCCAGCTAGTTGTTAACTGGTGTGAGCAGCCTAAAGAGAACCAGTCTGTCCCCTGCTCAGCAAGTTCTGTCCTTTAATGACCTCAGCCTACCTGCTGTTGTATTAAGGGCTCCTGACAACTCTAAAACACAACTTATTCCCAAAAAGCATAACAATGCTGAGACAGAGGCAGGCCTGCAGAAAGCAGCCAGGCCAGCTTGACACCACCAGCCAGGGAGCTTTAGATTGGGTTAAATGCAATTATTCCAGTTGAGATGCTGCCCAATTGGATTTATAGGTCAGACACATATTTCTATGGGAGACCAGAACACAACAGAACCCACACATCTGTTCTCTGCAGAGCTAAGTTATCTGAGGTCGTAATTTGGATAACTTGCCATTTCTTCAACAGAACAATTCAGGAAAGATCACTTGCAAGGAATGTGAAGATCACCTATGGCCAGAGGAACTAACACAGCTCTGCTTTTGTCCAAGAGAGGGTAACACTTCAAACATCAAAAGACTTCAAACATCTCCCCAGAAATCTGACTTCATCCAGAAATAACCTTCAATTCTCAGCAACAAAGCTACAGCTGAGTTCAGTGTCATCTCCTCTGCCAGTTTTTACCAAGTAAAGGCATCTCAAAAGGCAGTTTCTGTTCTGAATGGGTGTATTTTACAAAAACACTTTCCCATCCATTTTAGCCTCTTAAAAATAGACTATTCTCACTTTTAATCAGGCAGTAGGCTGTGCCTGTGATTCACCAGTCACCAGACAAGAGCATCTGATCCTACCTGACAGAAGGGAAAGCAGCATAACGTATCTGTAACAATAAATCAGAATCCTCAATTGTTGCTGAAAGGTTTGGTAGATAAATGCCATCAATAACTTCCCTTGTATTTCTGTGACAGAGGAAGCCTGATGGGTTATTTGCAGACTGACTCGTGTCCAAACTGGACAGTTCCTAACGCATGTTCTCTCGAGGGGTCCCAGACAGAGGAGATTTAAAAGAGCAGAAAAATACAATTTGCAGAAAACCCAAGCTCAAGTCAAAGCATATTCCTGTAGTGACTCAAGTGAATAGCAAAAATAAAAGAGGAATGAGATAAATATGGCCCCTATCCAGGGAACATTTTCTGTTGCAGAACTGTGTGCCTGTGAACCAGGGGACAGCGTCTGTTTTCCACCCACTTTAACTCAGGAGTTGCAGTGAGAGAACAAACATGCATCCAACCATTTCCACTCACCCTGCTCCTCGCTTTGATGCGCTTGTAAACGAAGTCAGGGAATGGTTTCCTGGGGATATACCGCCCAGATCCCTCGGTGACATGGAGATTCCCATCCTCCAGCACAATCTTCCCCTGGCTGATAACCACCAGGGGAGACCCACGGCATTCCATGCCTTCGAAGATATTGTACTCCAGAGACTAGAACAAAAAGACAACATGAGGCAAACATATTCGTGCCAGCAAAGCCTGCTGTGCTTGAATTAACAGTCACCAGCCCTGCTAATGGCCAAAATGTGAAGGACAGATAGAAGCAAACTCAACAGCATTCACCTGAGCTGTGTGTGCTGTGGTTTAATAGAAAGGCTGGTCCTTGTTATAGGTTTACATTGATTAAGGATTCACTCATGCACAATTTCCATTTCAACAAGATTCATGAAGAGGAAATACAGCTTCAAATGAGAGTATCTCAAAGCCTACCTCTTTAAATGCATTTAGGCACCCATCTCTTCTGAATTGATGGGGATTTTGGAATCAAATCAAGTTTTATCTAAGTTTCATGCTAAAAATAATCATTTTGAAAAGCTGTATTTCACACCAGTGTTTTGGTTGATGGGTCAGGGACCATCAGGACAATCTTGTTTTACTCTAATGGGATTGCACATCCCCAGTTAACAGGATTTGAAACATTACACCAAGGAAAGAAACAAGTTTCAAAGGAATCACTGGTAAATGGTCCCACCCATGAAGCCTCCTGGATTGAGATGCATTACAACCACGTTAATTGGGGACTGCTACTCTAGTGACCATCTTGGAGGCAAATCCAGGCCTTTTTTACTGAGTGAATGATGGAGTTTGCTCTTGGAGTGTGTTGTAAGTATGGGGAGGGGTGACTGCAGATTTACAGTTAGCTAGAATGGTGGTTAAACCGACGCTGAACCTGGTCCAGTCTGCAAAATGTTGTGGCAAAGGAGGAGGCTTGGTCAGAAGGTTATATATTAGGCTGGTGCCAAGAACAACAGTATCTTCCTCTCTAGCTCCTAATGTTCCCTTGCCAGGCAGTGGCAAGAGCAGTGTGAATTCTTGGAAAATATCTGCATGTTGCTCTAGCATTTAAAAAAGAAACAATCATCTGATGCCACATAATCACTATGTTTCCTTGTGTTGCAGCAACCGCTCCTGCCTGGCTTTCAAAGGGGCTTTTGTTTTATACTTCACCAAAGTAGGATGCCTTGACTCTAAAGGCATCACTTGTACCCATTTCTCCTCTAACACAAGGCACACGTGCAGTGTGAGACACGAAAAAACACCCCAGCAGGTGTTACACCAGGTATAACACATGATACAATGACAGGGGAAGAGGTGAGAGCTGGATGTGGAAGGTAAAAAGATGCGATTTCCTAGACAGCCCTTCAAGCCCTAACCAAGCCACTTGAAAATGAGAGCTCTCCATCCTCCATAGTCTTGGCACAATTGAAAATGCAGCCTCTGGCAATAGCTCATTGAGTGCTGAGGCCTCTTACATGGTGCAAGAGATTCAGGGGGATCTGCAGTCCTTAGTGTATAAAGTATTCCTGAGTGGCTGTTCTACTGTGGAGGTGGTTCTCCTTCAATCTAGCCCAGATCTAGGGCAAAACCTGATTGTACTGGAGCTTATCCACAAAAGATGAAGTCTGTGAGTTATGTGTTAGCAAGCTTGAAGACTCTAAATTCATTTCCTAATCCATTCAATGGCAAGGACTTTCAAATACTCCAACCAGCAAGCTACTTTCATCTCTTTCTGAGCCATTCATAAGCACAAACCCAGGTTCAGACCACTAAATTTGGCACCTAATAGCAGCATGTCCCTGGGCTCCCTCCTCTAATCCATTCTTCTCCAGACTGGAGGTGTGATGAGTCTAGAAGCACCTCTAAGGTGACTGAAGTGACCAGACTTCTTAGTCTGGATGCCTCTCTCAGAGGTCTAAGCATAGGCAGGATAAATCCAGGCCATCTGTGACCAATTCTGACACCAAATTAAGTCACAGGGAAGTGACCCAAGCCTTTAAAAACGTTTCTTTGTGCCTGTGCCCAGGGATCCAAGTGTGGAAGGAAATTTTGCTCCTTCAGCTCCAGAGTGAATGAAAGCATTCATGGAAAAAAGGAGGGTTTTTCCAGGGAAACATTCCATAGGTTCATCGCCAGCAGTGAAACAAATCATCAACAAATGCAAACAGTGGCTGCTTTCTCCGACACAGTGCTCGAATGTCACAGGGAGACTCCAACCAGCCCTGTGCACTGAGACCATGCTGCAGTTTCCCACAGGGTGGGACAGCTTTTCTGCTGTAGGAGCTGGGTGTAAGATACAGGACACATAGCTGTGGGACTCAAGCAAACAGTGCCTCTAACAGTGCCACCACAAAGATACACAAGAAACAAGGGGAAGGTCTGGTCAGTCTGGGTTCTGCCTTGTGCCTCCCTGTGCCAACTAACATTGGGATGACTGGCAGTAAAATCCTGTTGAGGTATGCCTACACACACGTGTGCCAGATCATGGTGCAAATCCACTCAGACTCAATGATCTGGATCAGATGTCCCACGAAGGTGCCCACAAGCTGACAAGCTTTGCTAAGCCCAACTAGAAAAGGGGCAGCTCACATACTAGCCAGCCAGGTCATAAATGGCACATCATGATAAGAAGTCTTTTGATACTTCAAAGAGCTTTCTGTGTGCTCAGATCCAAGCATCCAAAGCTCAGAAAGAGCAGACAATCTCTTTGCTCTGAGGAGAATCTCTGGGTATTCATGTGACTTCAGACTGGCACTCAAATCATCAACCCTTCTGCTCACACAACTGAGCACCGCTGCGTTTAAGACCAGGGAGGGCTTGAGGCATCGAGAAAACAAAGCCCTGAGTTGTCATGAGCCCTAGTTCTTGGCACTGAAGGGAAAGAGGAGGAAATGAGCAGCAGAGCTCACATAGCAGAAGATATCCTTACTATGTTATGAGTCTTGGCAGAGATTGTCTTGACGCTGTCGGGATCCCAGATAACCAGATCAGCATCCGAGCCCACTGCAATACGGCCCTTCCGTGGGTACAGGTTAAAGATTTTAGCTGCATTTGTGCTGGTCACAGCAACAAACTGGTTCTCATCCATCTTGCCAGTCACCTGGACAAAGACAAAAGGAGTCACTGCATTAGCCAGGTGGGGACCACTCCAAAATCAAGTAACTCACCACACAACAGATTACAAATAATCTTTACAGGGGCAAAAACCTTAAGCAGAAGGACCATAGCAAACATCTGGGGTGAGATAACAATACACTTATGTGGCTCTTTCAGTTCTGAATGTCTAGTTGCAGGCTAAGTCTATGACATATGTGACATACCACAGCCTTATCCCAGATGATGGACATCCTCTCTTCAGTTCCATTGGTTCCTTCAGGGATCAGGGTGAAGTTGTCCTTCCCAACAGCTTTCTGAGCAGTGTTGAAGGTGCAGTGGGCACTGCCAGTAACTTGGAGGTCTCCACTGGAGAAGACAATGACAGGGATTTAAGATATGTTATTGCCACAGGTTTACTCCTGAAGGTAAACCAGCTTTTTGCTTGCTAGCAACAACAGCTGTTATTTTTATTACCCCCTTGCCTCACGTTGAAGCACACGTTGTGTGAACACAAAGAGCTCTACTCACCAGGACAGTAGCGAGTTGAGAAAATCAGGAGTGGTCGGGTCAGGACTCAGTGGTGGGGAAGTAACAAAAGCTGCTGCCTTAGCCCAATTCTTGCTCCAGTAATGAGATCCATCAGTACCCAAGCTGGCTGTGATGGGCTCTCCATACACCACAGTGCCTACAGGACAAGGAATACAGACAAATCCACTGTGAGCACCAAGCAATGTGCATCTCCAGCCTGGCTTCCAGGCATAAAGCATGCTTCTGAAGAAGGACAAGTTGGGTAAGTTATGCCACCACCACACGCTGCAGGGTTTCTTGGTACTTCCTCTTGAGTACGTGATCACAGAGACATAAATTTGGATTGAATTCAGTGATGACAGATGATCAGACATGATTAAACTCCTAGGTTGTTCAATGCTCCTCAGAAACCGTGTTATGTTACTGAGGGGCTGTTCTCACGAGCATCTAGAGACCTCTAAAGACACATTGAGCATACTGCAAAAATCAGTCCCTCAGACTAAGTAGCCAAACAACTAAAAACCTGAGTTAATCATAAATACACCATTACTGCTAAGAGCCTGGAGCAGCAAAACATGCACAGTACCTTTACATAACTGCTGAGGTCAGCACTGATGAACTGTGCTTGACGTGGTGACTGCAAAGAACCATTGTACTGTACCCTGAGCCAAGAACCTTGTGAAAGAGGCTAAAGGGAACTGTAAGTGTGAGGAGATCCAGCCTCATCTACAAGGGATGTGGAAGAAAAAGAATGAAAGAAGTACTTTTATACATGTGTATGCTTTAAAGCTCTAACAAGGCTGGGTTTCTTGGAGCAAGCTCTGTGCACAGATCAGATCAGACAAAACTATCAGGGAAGCTTCCTGCCTACAGAGAGAACTCATCAGAGAGGAAGCATCAAGGAAACTGAGTGATTCCCCCACGGGTACTTGGTGTATCTGTGGCAGAACCAGGAAATGAAATTGGATCCTCTAACTCCCTGTCCAGTGCGCTAACCACCAGTGCATCCTTCCTCTTCATTAACGTTTTTGGAACCACATGAAGGAACAGCCACGATACTTTGCAAGCTGGAATGCACCAGCGACATCTGCACACCAAGCAGATGCAAGATGCTGCAACTTCAAAAGCAGTGCAAGCTGGTAGCCTCACAGATCTGCTCACCAAATGCAACCTTCCCGAAATCTCCAAGTGCCCATCCATCTGGCTCCTGAGTCCAGGCACTTCACGTGTTTGTACCAGCGAAACACTTGGGTAGTTAAAACACTAACCCTGAATACTTCAATCAGAAAAGACTGGCACAGACAACCCCAGAATTGGTCAGTAGGGTCTTACCTCACCATGCAGAGTGAAAAAATATGACCTTTCTTTCACCATATTGCCCGAGCTACTCTTAGCTCTATAGGCTCTCGAGCTAGCTGCGAAAGAGCACATTAGCTAAGACAGAGCGATGCATTAACTGCCTTCACGCTGCTTCCAGGACCACACTGGGACAGGAGGTGCAGGAACAGCCTTTGTCCGAGGGGATCCACCGGCAGAGGAAGAGGATGTCTGACATCACTTGCCACAAATAGAGTTACAAAATCAGAACAAGGCAAAGCACACGCTGGCTATTAATGGGAAGCCTGTTGTGGGCCAATACACTGGGAAGATTGTTCTGCAGGGAGTGATGTTTTGAGCTCCCAGATCTGCCAGTGACACAGTCTGTAGGGAACCTCCTCCATACGAATGCCACTGGGAACATCTGGCTTTAAATAATGTTTGTTCCTTTCCATTTAGCAAGTCAATTCTGTTTTGTTTTCGCCTTGGGTAGTCTTCAGTTATGTTTCCTCTGTTGCTTGGGAGGGCAAAGTCAGTGTGTGTGGCCCTCCTGGGTTACCCAGTTGGGTGACTGCACAGCATTTAAATTGAATTATTTAAGTAAAAGGAACAGAGAATGGTATGCCATTGATACCCCAAATTCTCCTTATAAGGAGAAAACACAATCTGAATGAAAACTGTCTGTTGTAGTTCACTCAGGAGATGAAGTGAGTTCTGTGGATCATTCATCTGGGATCATTCTGTGGTAACATCCACCCAAGTCAGGTTGTGTTTCACGGCTTCTGCAATGTAAGTGTATGGTGTCTCATCCCAATGCCCCTCTCTACTTGCCAGCTAGTGGTTTCAGGGGACAAGCAAATAGCAAGAAGGTGGTCTTGTTGATGATCCATCCCTATGGTGCATGTCTCTCCAGTGCATTACCTAGAAAAGGAACGGATGCTTCCCTGACTTACAGGACTGAGTTGCACAACGACATCAAGCTGTTTACTGGGGTAATGCAACAGGCAGCCACTTTGCTGTGTCAACACATCTTCTCATTTCATCATGATCCCCACTAATGGAGCTGGGAGAGAAAGGTTTATCCCAAACAGCTTGAGCTGCTTTCATGCCATGAACAGAAAGAGATGCCTTGGAAATCAGTCACCCTCATCAACTCTGAACTCATTCAACAAGAATCATGGGACCAAAATACTTCTGAGCCGATGACAAACACAAATGTGTTTGTGTGGTAGGAAATAAGCTCTTCTCGCACCAAACACCCAGATGGAAAGTGATGTCATTTGTATATCCATTCAGGCTTATTCAGACTGCATAAAATTAAATCCAATCCTTCAGAGGGAAGAAGGGGGAAAATCATCCCTCCTGCTTACTCACCCACTCAGAGCTGCTTTAAATAGAAATGAAGGGGTTAGTCACAGAATAAAGCAGGGAGACAGGCGCTCACTGGGCTCTATAACCCTTGCTCCTTGGGGCAACACAGCAGGGTGAGGACCCTGGAGAAGCTACTGCATCACTTCAGAGAAGCTCCCTCACAGACATCAGTCACAGAGAAGAGACACAAGGCAGCATCATCCACGGCACATCTGAGTCTTGCAACCTCCAGCATCCTCAGGCAGAGTTATCAGAGGTGACTGCAATTCCCAGCCTAACTCAGACTACTGATCCCAATTAATGTTTGGATGCCAGGCTGTGAATTACAGCACGTGAGGAGTATCTATCTCCCAGGCAAGGAGCACAGTGAACAGCTGGAATCAGTAGCCTCTTTGGTTACCACGACACTACTCCAGCTGAATCCAGCAGGGCTTGTGAGTCAAGACCTCCATCAGGAGTTTTGGAATCACTTCTGATCCCAGGAAGCAGCTCAAAAGACCAGTGCAGCTGGAAGGAAGACACAGCTTGCAGCCTCTAGGGGGATTCGTTAAACGGAGCCAGCATGGAATTACTCTGTGATAATGAAGGTACATGGCTCAATGTGGTAAGATGAGTGTGAAGAGAGAAGCTCTAGGCTGAACAGCTCCTGGCACTAATATGACCACTGAATACACATCTGTAGGAGATGAGACAGAACCAGTTGCTTGGGACTGTTAAAAAAGAGCCTGGATGATAACACTGGAAAAAGAATCCTTTCCTGTAGGGATGAAGCTAATGTTGGCAAGAAGTTGAACTGCATGAGCTAATAGGGCGCTTCCATCCAAGGGAAATAACTTACCCTTTTTCCTGGCTTGAGCAATGACATCAGCAGCACTTTTGCTCATCACCTTGGTGATATAAAGGGGGCAGTTGGTTTGGTTGGCGATGGTTATTGCCCGGTTCACAGCCTCCGCTTCCACCTGAGAAACCAAGTCAGCAGTAAGTTAGCACCATTCCATGTGTTAGCATATCCCAGTCACCTTCCAAGGGCCACAGCCTCTGCTTTCATGGGAAAACAGGGTGTGCAGGGCTGGGATGAGAGACTTTCCTCTCTCCTTTTCCACCTCTCCAATTCCGAGACAGTGTAACCACGACAATCACAATGACCTCAAGCTGTAGTCCTCTCTCATTACTACCTTTTCTCCCAGGCTGTTTCAAGCAGACTTAAGTCCTAAGGTAACACTCCAGGTGCTCAAGGTCAGAATGACTAAGCCCCTTCTTTAGCCTAGACAAAAATAAGCAACTAACTGTTGACTCAGCAGAACTGTTCATGCTCCAGCCCACACGGAAGAGGGATGCTGTGCCACATACTCTGGTAAGCCACGTTTGCAAACAAGCCTCCTAAATTGTACCCTGCACTACAATAACTGGCTTGGGATCTGACAGAGTGTGAACCACCCCATAAATCAAGTACTTTTTCTTGCATGTGTAGAGAGATAACCTCAGTGAGACTAAGGGTCACTTTATAACTACAGCCTCAGAATGAACGTCATCACTCTGCAGGCTTTTATGGATCACACATCCTCATCAAAGCAGCCCAGATGACAGATTTAACAGCAGGGTAATGCTCACAGTGCCTACTGCCATGGAGAACTGAGCCTGCAATACCACTGACGTTTTCCAGGTGAACAACAGAGGAACTTAAACCCAGACAATCAGACTCCTGATTCCCAAATGCAAGAGGCTCCTGTCACCACTCCAGAGCTGGCGACTAACCCTCCCCAGGCTGGGTGATGGACACAAGGGGACATTTTTTGGCCCAGTTGCCCTATGCAAATGGAAAAGGCTGCAAGGAAGGGTGTTTCTTCCAGGCCATTTGATTCAAGTATGCCCCAGCCAGCAGCACTTGCTGGGAAGACAGAGGCTGAAAGGAAAAGCCAAGAAAAGCATTCTTGTCCCTCCTGAGAGACAAGGAGAGAACTCAGACAGACCAATGCTTCCAGGCAATGGCATCTGTTTGCAAACTGCCCATTTAATGCCGGCCTGTGCACAGCTCTGTCACTGTTTCCATCCCGTGCCTTAGTTTCCCCACTTGCAAAGCAGGGGTGAAACAACACACACCTCCAGACTTGTGACCAAAAGGCATCTGAGCAAGTGATAAGCAGGAGGAGAACATTTTCTTGCACAGAAGAGGACAAGGCTGCTGAATTCATGCCTTGTGCCCTGATGCTATGGTGACAGGCACATAACAATAACCCAAGGACTAGTCCAAAGGGGAATGTTTGCAATTACCAGTATGCAGCAGAAGCCCTAGCACAGCAGTTCTCTTGGAAAAAAGAGACAGACATTTCCTGCAGCACTGGGACTGCTTGTGCTTCCAGCGTTTTTGTGGCTGAAATAAAAACAAGGAATGATGGATGGCTCCGACAAGTCATCACAGAATGATCTGAGCTATGAGGGGAGAGCTTTCCACAAACTGATGGGTGATGCTGACCGGAGAGTGGGGTCTGAATTAAGGCTCCCTTTGCTGGCTGGAATAATGTGCTGAATCCTGTCACCTTGGCTCAACACAGGTTACTGAGGTGAGCAAGCCAAGCCCATGAGTCAGCAGTGAAACTTAAGCCTTAATTCAACCTGGGAATTCAGAAGATGTGAATGCTCCAAGACATAAACACACACGGCCAGACCCTGAGTGCTTCACTCTGACCTCAGTCGCAATGCATTGAGTGGGAGGTTGGATTTAATAAATCCTTTAGACTCGTTCAACAACTCCTGCTAGTTTGCTGTAGGTGGAGGTCTGAAATAAGCGGCCCTTCAGTACGGTGACAGCCATCATAAAGTCCTTAGGACAGGCTACACACTCCATAAAGGGCAGCATGAAAAGCCAATTCCAGTGTTACCAGCATCCTGGAGGAACACCAAGAAACATCCACTCCTACTGCCCCATCCCTGGCAGTGTTCAAGGCTGTACTGGACAGGGCTTGGAGCAACCTGCTCTAGTGTGAGGTGTCCCTGCTGCCCATGGCACAGGGTTGGAACTTGAAGAGCTCTAAGGTCCGTACCAACCTGAAGCATTCTATGATTCTATTGGGAGTCAACAGGAATTATAGGTCTGCTGCCTCCCTCAGAATCTGGCCTTTATCAGCAGCCAGCTCAAAGGGAGTTGTATGGTTTTAATAGTTACTCCCGCAGTGGAGGAGGAGGGAGGGAAGCAGCTGACATCGCTTCCTGCCCTGTTGCCTGTGACTTTCAAGGAGGAGAATTTTGGAGCAAACGGTTCCACTCGGGGCAGACAGCACAGCTGAGTTCAGCTGCACAGAGCCTGCCCAGAGACACTGGGAAGAGGCTTTACTGATCCCCAGCTGAGGCAGCCACGTGTCCTCAGGCAGCCTTCCTTGCTGCACTGGGAAAGAACACATTTCTACACAGATGTAACGACCCAACCGAGCTGGGGAACCACCTCAAAGCTCCCATTCCACTAAGGACGAGCTTTGAAGTAGCCAGACAAGACTTGGCTAGTTTGATGGCCAGACACTCTAAGGTAAGAAGCAGCCTTCCTTTGAAGTTAATGGAAGTTAAGGGGTGCTCCACAGATGAGCCCCAAGTGTCAGGTCAGCATCTGTTCCCACTCTCCTGATGCAAGCCAACAAGTATGTATGAAACAATAACGCAGGGGTGGGTGGAAAGCTCAGTGCAAGTGTTTGCTCCCAAGTTCAGGAAGCAAAACCTCCCAGTTCCTGGAGCCAAACACAAATTACTGTGAGGATTCACACACTGCCCAAGTTGAGCGTTTTTTTTCTGCGTGAAGCAACTGGGTGATTTATAACCCTCCTGAAATGTCTCTGGATGCTGCTTGTCTGAACCAAGGGGAGGAAACAGAGAGGGAACATGAGGGGCACGTGTGGATGATCTCACACACCCAGCTTCCAGCTGCCACATCTGGCAGTCAGCAAAGCCCCAGCATCTCTGGGGGACAAGAAGAACAGCTTCTACGTAGCAGATGGACTTCACAAACCCAGAATGCCATGACGAGATGCCTAGCTTAGAGATACTGAAAGACTAGGTAAGAAGATTGCAGTGGGAACCCACGTGAAAACCAGGTTTTAGGTTCTTTCTTATTCTGGAGATTTATTTTAAAGACTTAGAGGTAGTGCTTGGGGTACCTGACCCTTGAGAAATCAATGGGGAAGTATGAAGGTTAACTATATTTAAGTGCTGGGCCAAGACGTGAGAAGGTCCCTTCCAACCCAAATCATTCTATGGTTCTATGAGTTAGCTCCCCTCTCGGGTACATACTTTCTGTGCCTTCAGCAAACCACTGAGTCCCTTGGTGTAAAAAAAAATCCATGAGCAAAATGCTCATCAACCAACCAAACCTGGCAACAGTCGATGGCAAAACGCTGCCTACATAAAACCAGAATCAGATGTCTTTGGTCATGCCAAACTCAACTGAAAGTGATGGGAAACTACAAGAGCTCCAGGGTCTAGCTCCATAAAGATCAACATCATCAATGAGAACATGCAATTGTTCAGGGACTCCATCTTAAAGTGTTCCTGTGCAGCATCTGAATCAAGGAATTGGTGATTCAGGAAGACTGTGCTTTACCTGTGCTTCAGGTTCAACAACTTCTGCATCTCCTGATGCAGGATTCCAGTTTGGGCTATCAAAAGGCTGAACTGAAGATGTGCTAAGCACCAACAGCTTTCTGTGGCTCAACTGCTTATCATGGCGCTCTGTGGTTCAAACCTCACTTGAGATACCTGATGCATGAGCAGTCTTTCTAGACTATCTCAGGTCACCAACAGAAAGAGAAAAGGCTTTCCAGAGGGTGAATCAGATCTTGGCCTGGATGAACTACTCCCTGGAGACGTCCCCTTCTCCAGTACTGAGAGGGCTCCTCAGTTCCTCTTAAATACCCACAGCAGTTAGTCTGCAGAAGGGATTAGTTATTAGTTAGTCCTTAGAAGTGTCTTAGCCTCCTCCCTTACCCCATGCAGCAACAATGCTTACAACCAGGATGAATTCGTGTTTCCAGCCACATTTACCCCAATGTGAAGTATTTGATGGCAATGCAGAAATGTTATAAACTGGGGGAGTAAATGCAACAGCAGTAAAGTCCTCACCTCCTCAGGTCTGCTCAACACATGCCCTTCAGGACCTGTGATTCCCAGTTCCAGGATCCTTTGTTGTTCCTAAGAGAGAGAGAACAAAAAGAGATTTAAAGCAACCTGCATTTCTTCTTGCAGCAAACACAGCTGTTTGAAAGAGGTACAAGTGGGATCCTAGGCATCTGTGCTAGCTAATAATCACATAGGGCTTTACATAAGGGCCTTCCAACCAGAGTCCTGTCCAACTTCCCTTGCTGAGAATAACCAGAGCTCACAAAACCCTTGCTGATTTGTTCACAGGAAGTCAGAGAAACCTTTTATTTTGATTTGCCTGACCCTGGGTTCAGAGCCCCTCAACTTCCACTGCTCATTTGTGTCTGTAAATAATCCCCAAGACACAGCGAGACGGTATCTCATGAGAAATAGCATCCTGCAACTGCAGGCAACGGGGCTCAAAGACTTGGGTGGGCTCTTCCCCAGTCAGACAATGAAACGTAACGTATAAAATGAGCTAAAGATCCGATTAAATCAAATACATTATTGACATTTCTTTGCTGCTGTTTAAAGCATAAACAGATCCCAAACATCATCATCTTGGGTACTGTATGAAGCTATTTCCCTTCCTACACTACCTGGTCTCAGTTTCTGCAGAACATTTTATTGCACACAGTGACATTCACAGCCAGATACCATCTTTCACTTACGGGGAGAAAGGCAGAGGTGGCCAATACCCACCACTGCCACAAAAACCTGCTTTCTCAGTAGCAATGGAGGGGGTAAGATTTGATGCCCCACTCTGCTTACATCCTTGATCCACCTATGTCACGCTTTTAAAAGTCGTGGTGATTTTCTGTTTGCAAAGGAGGAATGAAGAGTTCCAATCCCTCCTCCCAGCTTTTTGAAGTTAATAATCCACAGAACAAACATCCCATACCTCAGCAATGATGTCACCGTTCTCAGCATGCACTTGAGCTGTCGCGCCAATATCCCGGATCACACTCAGGACCTCATATATCTGGAGGAGAGAAAACACACATTACAATACACCCCGAGTGTACACCCAGGTACACACCTATTATAAACACTCCAGACTCCTTCAGCATACTGAATTCTGATGACTGGAAAAGAGAAAGAGAAGCATTAAGAAATATAAGATGGGGTTTTCTGGATAGGTATGATCCATTTTCCTGCCTATAACTGAATTTCTCAACCCATAGAGTTGGATGCTACTGATATATGGCAAACACGCACTATTTAAAAGACAGGTTTGGTATATGGGACACACTGGAGAAAGAAACAGTAACTGCACATGCCTACAGCTGGAGGGGATTTAAGAGCTCACAGGGTTGTACCTTTTCTGTGCCTTCACTGATTTCCATGGAGAACCTGTACTCACTCCTCTCACTGCCTGGGACAGAAGCAGTGTGATTTCGCACCCTGAGAGGGCTCAGGTTGAGCTGCGTTAATGGCCACTCATTAAAATGCTTACCAGAGTCATTAGAGATAACTGTCACCCACCACTGCCTTCTCCACTGTTCCAGACTCCCAGGCATTCCTCTCCTCCCACATTCAGAAATGTAAACTGCCCATCTACACAATTAAATGTACCCAAAGGTATCCACCAGAATAGCCAACAGCAATTCCTTCTTACGGACCCACAATTCTAACACTAAGGCCAGAAACCAACTTCTGGACCAGGATCAGTTTGAGCTGATAAAAACAGAGTACTTATTCCAGAGATATCCCTGTCCTGCCCTGTGCCTAGGCATAAAGCAGCAATTTATAAAACTGCCACTGCTTCCACACCAAAGGAGCTGGAATGAAACCTCCTATCTCTCCCAGTGAGGGCTTTGCCATTGCTTTCAGGGTTTGCTGTTGGTTGGGGTATTTTTTGTTAAGAAAACAACCTTCCAACCAGAGCTCTGGGCACTGCTGCAAATCTTAGGCACTGTTACACATACAAAGATTGAAGCCAGAAGAGAACATGAGATCCCAGTGTATTGAAACTAAACCCTTATATAAAGCAGTGCCCAGCCTGCAGTGACAGAAGCATGCCAACATTAAGCCTTCCTACCTGAGAATCAGTCAGCTGAAAGCGATCTTTGAAAGCCATGTACACCAGGAAGGAGTTCACACCTGGGAGAAAGAGAGCAAATTGCAGGCACAGATAAAGCAACATAAACCACACTGCTTGTCACAGACAGAAGATATCCCCCTCAATCAGCCCACCACGAAGCAGAAATGATGGGTAGGCAAATAAATGACCCTGCTGTGAAACGCGTACACACATGTGCGTGCACACACACGGACTCTCAAGCAGATCACAGCATAAGGCCAGGATCTCCTCCACCATGTGGCACCAGGGTGCATCCCCTGAGCCCTCTACACCAGCAACTGTCCAAACCTTCATGAGAAGCTGGAATGGGCCAAGTTAATGTCAGGGCCCCAGTCAGCTCTATTGGGATGTAAAAGTGAAATACTTCACAAGAACCAGTCCTAAAAATAGGGGAAGCAGTCCTAAAACGTAAGGAGGGGAAAGGCTTTCCTTAACTTTCAATAACTGAACTTACCATGATCTTTAACCAGAGCTTCCATCTCCTCCTGCACACCTTTATGCCACTCAGTGATGTCCACATGCAGAGAGTAGTCGCAGCAGGATTTGCTGTCTGCCCATTCTCGCCACTGGTCAAATGCAGTCAGCAAACTGGTCCCTGGCTCAGGAACCACATGATCAACTGGGAAAGACAACCAAAGCACTGGTAAATGGCCGGTGCAGCGGCTTTCCTGGATATCCGAGACAGAGAGCATGCTTTGCAGAGGCTGCTGTGAAAAGAAGACATCCCCTTGCCCTTAAAATACCTGAGTTTGCAAGACTTGGTTTCTAAAGTCCCACACCTGAGAGTGCAGCCAGGAAGCTGATGATGGAGCAGAAGCTGAAGGAAACAGTTCAATTACTACAGCCCGTGCACTGCAATTGTTTGTGAATGGAGCAAATGGAACTCCCTCTTAACAGCAGCAAACACAAACTGCTGCCCAGAGCTCTATGAACATCCCTCCCCTGTTTGGAGACAAGTGAACAGTGACACAGACAAAATCCCCTGTGAGCAGCAGTCAGCAGCTTTCAGTAATCAGCACCTCACGTCCAAGCAGCTCCTGTGTGCTGCTGGACCTGATAGAAAAGGTGTCCAAACAGCGTAAAGGTGCTGGCACATACACAACAGTGTCAACCAAGATCTCCACATGGATCGGAGCTACTTTGTGCTATGCATCCCAGCCAAGAACACCTTCCACAAACAGTGTACACGTGAGGACTGGAAGAAGCAGGACCAACAGTTTGTTGTGGCTGGAGAGACGCCCCTGACACAAGATGCTGCTTGCCTCCAGCATCTGCCTACTGTGATCCCTGTTCCAGCCTAACACATTCAGTCCAGCAGCAACTAGGTTCACAGGCAACTGTAAGATACTCCCCCAGTGCTACAGGTGCAGAACATCCTCAAAGGGTAAAAGAGATTTGGATGTGAAGGTTTAGTTTTCCTGCCAGTAATCCGAAGAGCATTCAGTGAAATAAAAGCAGCCAGCCAGCACCTTGGAAACTGAACTGCTGCTGAGAGGAGGAACAGCCTGCGGGACTTCAGGGGTCACAAACTGGGCCGGCACTGTTGAGGAAGACAGAGCCCTCGTTTGATCTTACATCAAATCACACAAGTAACTGCTGCAATTACCAGCAGAGAAATTCAAGCAGTTTATTTTTAACCTCACTGGTGAGTATCCGGGCTGCCAGCAGCTCAGCAGCTAGCTCTACATCACAGCTGGAATAAGAGATGAAGTCTTCGGGCCTTACTTGTTCCCAGTGGAGAATCAAAGCTGTGTCCACCCTCTCTCCCTCTTGCAAAGGTGACAACGTGACAGACAGCAAAACAGCAGTTAAAATATCTGTGCTTTTCCAAAAGGCTTGCGTTCGCCCTTTGCCAGCCTGCAAAGGGAAGGGTGTGATGCGGTTCCTTGCTGATACACCAGCAGTAGAGCTGCAGCTTTGAGCAGCAGTGGGTTAGGGGCTCAGGAGCGGCTGGTGGCCTTCCTGTGCTCAGAGAGCAGAGTCCTGCCCACCAGAGAGATCTGTGCTATGAGTGAAAGCTCTGAAATGTGCCTGGTGACTGGCATCAGCTCAAGGATGTGCTTTTCGCCACCCTCGGGAGAAGCAACCCAAATTTAACCAGATGATAAACTGGCCTGTTTGTAAAGAACCATCCCGTTTCTGTTCCATGATCTCCTCCTCCCCAGTGGTCAGAAACCTTCCACTAACTTCCAAGACTGAATTGTTTCTTCTTGGCCAGTACGTAGCCCCTTGTCACTCTGCCAAAGTTAATCTTTAGCTTAAGCAGTATGAAAACCAAGGAGAAAAATAACATTCCCTCTGTGTTACAATTGGGACACAAAGAAAACCCATGCTTTCACAAATGGCCTGTGCCTCAACACCAGAGCTGTCTTCCTCAGCTTACTGGCTAATTCAAAAGCAAAAAAAATGCCCATTTAATCTCCAACACATCACAATAATGAATCCATCTCTACTTAAGACAAAAGGTGCCCTAAGAGCTCTGTTAGCCCAAAATGATACATGGCTACGGGCATTAGGAAATCCTGCCTGGAGACACCAAGGGGTTAACACAGTGGAGCCCCTAGGAATGACTCTGGTGTCTAGGATCAGAGCTTTATCACCGTCTTATTTCATGCACTGCCCAAGTATGACTAATGGCAGCTTGTGGAGGGAGTGGGAGAGGGGGTAAGGGAGCTCTATCAGATCCTTAACGAAGTCAAACCACAGCTGGTTACAATAAGGATAAGGGATGGAGGTAGTGCTGCATATGTGCAAGAAAATCAACTCTGGGGATTAGGAATATCTCATATGGAAGCTGTGCTGCTGATACATCTCATAGCAGCTCCCTCGAGCTCCCTGATAGCCAAATCACCCATCATCCTCACCAAAACAGAATACAGTTTGTTTCCATAGCAGCTTTCTGCCAGCCACATATTACTGATCAACCACTCTGTTATGGTTACATAGAAGAAGTCATCAAGAAGGCCTGAATGTGCAAGTTAAAGCAGCAGTTTTCCAAAGCCTGTGATTTAACTGGTCCAAAGAGACTGTAGGAAGGAGCAACATCATAAAGCATAACACAAGATAGTGAGAAGGACATCCCTGGACCTGATACAGAGCGTCCCAGAGCAGGAAGAAAGCTGTGTTGCCACAGGTGAGGCAGAAGCAGTAGATGCTGAGACATGAGGAAGCTGCATGTAATCCTAAGTGTTAGCCTAGAGGCAATTCAGACACAAATGCAAATGTCTCCTCAATTTTACCATCCCTTGATACAATGGAAGGGGTCAAGATCATGGCCTACATCCCTACATGTGAGGGTTGGGGTTTTTAGGAGCCCAAATTAGTGAGAATGAGCCTAGATCCTTTTAAAGGAGAAGAGCAGAGATTGATTCTCCGCCTGCTGTTAAAAGAACTGAGCATTGCAACTACTCCTGCCTATTGGTATGGAAAGGAATCGCCCACATGCAACTCAGAGGAAGTTCTCCTTCCAGTCCTCAGGCACAGCTCATGAGCTCAGAGTAAAACAAAAAGCTTTTTCTTTAAGGTCCCTGTGCTTCAGAGCACTGCAAAGCAGCCGATGAAAGCTCCATCCGCTGCATTCCCACAGCCCTAGGTGCCCAGGATGACCCCTGGGTATGATCTGCCACAGGACCATGGACACAAGGTCTTCTGACCCACCGGAGCACGCAGCAAACCCAGCCATGGAGACTACCCTGGAGGCTTCCCAGGCAGAAAGCAGCATGCTGTCCTGACCTCACTGACCCACTTCTCCCTAGGGAACCCAACAGTTTACTGCCCCATCCTTTGTCCCTTCATCTCAGAAACCAGGAATGTTCAATTCCTGCAGCCACTGGAGTGCCTTCATGTCTGCACGACATACTCAAGACAAACTGTCGCAAACAAGACTGCTGTCACCCCTTTATTCTCCAGACCACTACAGCCTTGATGTCTTCATGCTTCCAAGCCCAGATGTTTTCTTCCTTTTGTTGATTATTGCTGTACAAATGATGTCAGCTGCTGAGGTCTGAAAAGGAAGTTGCCAGCTCAGTTTAAGCTCAAAGCTGACTCCAAAACCAGAAACAAAGTGAAGAAAAAAAAGAGGAAAGGGAAAGATCATTTCAGTATCACTTCATCAGCACTGAAACCTTCAAAGGAGGAACTAAGGAGCTTGTGGTCCTTGTAGTGGCTCCCTAAATTTCAGCCCTGATCCTAATGGTTCTCCTTATTTAACATCACTCCCAGCAAGTTACATGGCAGAGACAAGGTCAGGATTACAGTGGTTTCTCAGCTCTGAACACAAAACATTCTGCGGATTTCTCTTTTAACCTTCTGAGATGCAGAATCCAAAAAAGCAACAGCCTGTGGCTTAGCAGCAAGCCTGCTCGCATCAGCAAAGTAGCTGCTGTTACAGAAAAATAGCAGAAAAGGATTTTGTATTTTACAGATCATCCAGGCTCTCCCTTGGTAAAATCCTGACAAGAGTCCAGAATTACTGCACAGTCTGTTTAGCTCTTTCCCAGACAAACTGAGCCTTCCCCTCCCTTTGGAAGGCAGTGGGATCTGAGCACCTGCATACCCACCACTGTTCCAGCCACACTAAGACTCTTAATTACCCCTCTGATGTGTCTGGTTTCGCTCTCCCTTCATTCCATACGGTTTCACACTGCTTACTAGGTGCATCTGCTCTTAACTTCCAAGTATTTCAGCTCCCACCCACCCATCATCCATGAGTCTGCCTTGCTCATGATCCTTCACTCCTCCTTGGACAGATTAATCGGCTCAAGATTAAAGGCAGACAATAAGCTGGAGTGAGACAACACCACTAACCGCTGTTAGCTTATCTGTGTGGCTTTAATATACCAAAGCTGGCATCCAGCCACACTGAAATGCTATGTGTCCAGTGAGCCCAAATGGATGAATGCTGGGAGGTGGGGAGAAATAAAACCCCCCAGTGCATCAGACAGACAGTGTTAAATGAAAGGGGAAGGCAAAAACTGAGAGGAATTGATTTAAACAGAACTTTCCAAGTATAGGGAAAATAAAGCATTGTTTTAACATGAGGATGAAAAAACTAAGTAGGGTAGGAGAAGCAAAAGGACCAGTTTATAAAGCACTAGCATTTACTGATCACATCACTGGCTAGTGCATCCATTAAAGGTTCAGCTGCTGTACCTCCTCCCTTACTTTAAAACCTTATCAAATCACCAGCTGCAGAGCACACTTAAAATGGTGCCCATCTCAGCCCTAAACTGTGGCTTTCTAGAACACTGCATCACATCTTGGCTTCCTTTTACCAACTCAGATAGACTGTGGCTTTCTGGTCCTGGAGAACTTGTACAAAGCAGGGAGATAGCTGTGGCTCTCACACAGACCCTGAACAAGTGCCCAGCTTGAGGACAGAGGCAGCTATTCTGCATGGGCATGAGGGACCAAACACAGAAGACTGGGGAATTTAACCAGCAGCCTGCAGGGTGTTTTGAGACTGAAGCCATAAAAAATCCCATGTAATCTCCCTCTGGCACTTGGAAGCTCTCAAAAATGCAGCTGAAGAGCCATGCCTTTATATTTTTGACTCCTCACTAAGCTCAGGAGAAATTATTGCTTCAGTGAGAGAACTGAATTCAGCTCTTAGCCGTGCCT